ATTAAAAACTCTGTTGGATTTTTTTTTTAATTTAAGAGTTTATGGGAAGTATACAAAAGTGTAGAAGTGGTTCTTGATAATAAGGAAGTTCATCATTCAACATTTATTAATTCAAATCAGATGGAAAGTAAAGAAAGCCTTAATTTATTCTCTTACATTCAAATATTAGCACAGTTCTTCTGACTGTAAACCCCCACTCCATGTCTCTTTAAAAGAGCTTAGGAACATTTTGCAGAATCCGCTTGTGTTTTGTTTTCCTTTAAAGAAGAGAAAGAATGAAAAATGTACAGTAAATGTTCCTGCAGATAAAATTCTGCATTTTAAAAAGGTGTGCACTTCTCATAATTAATAAAGAGAGAGAGAGAGAGAGAATAAAGAGAGAGCAAATGAACTAAAGCAGCCTAAAATCTAGATGAAAAAATACTTAGGCAGAAAAAGAACACAGAAAATTATGGTAGTCGCATTGCCTGCCTGCCCACTTGTTAAATTAGTTTATAAGTATTTTTTGCTGTAGTCCGGAGTGAGAACTCCTATTTCATTTGACATTTAATGCCAATGTAATGTTCTTTTGCAAAAGTCAGGCTGAAGGACACCATGCAGTACATAATAGCTAAGTGACAAATTTTCAAACCTTGAATCCATTTTGTGCACTTTTCCAGATACTAATGGACTGTGAATCTTTGCATTTACAAGTAAATCCAAAAAGAAAACAAAAAGCAACAAGATGAGTATTTTTAAAGGAAAATCAGCTCCTTATAACACAAGACCATCATTTTCTTTTTCCAAAGCATTTATGCTAACCTTCCAAAATGCTTTAGCCCCAAAAACTGGTTTGGGGCAACCTGTCTTTGGATTCTGCTAAAAAAAAAAGTTCCAAAGCCCATAAGGAGTTGGCAAATCCAACAAAATTTATATGTCTGTGTCTGCAGAACATTATAAACTACCTGACAGAAAAGCACATGGAAAATGCATGAGCATATTCTCGATTGCTGATAAAAGAATGATCCATCTGCACTGTAAGGAAGTGAGTGCAGCATGAATTACAATAATCATCATGTTTTGTTCTAGTTTCCCCCCCCCTCTTTTTTTGCATTGTTTTTCTTCTCTGAACTTCACTCAGTTCTTACATATAAAACATAAAAGTTGGCATTAGGTTGTAGTCAGAATGGACCTCACTGCTTTACCTTCCAGTTCTTTTGGGAGACTAAAATCAAGCTTCTGGATTGAATTTGTGGAAACGGCAGCAGCTATCAAAGAAGGGGGAGGGGCGTCAAAGTGCAGTCTTCCAGACGTTGTTGAACTACAACTCCCATCCGCTTTAGCTCGCATAGCCAATGATAAGAAGGGCTGGGCATTGTTATCCAGCAACATATCGACATTGGCACTTTGTCCATCATTTAATATGTGTTTTTAGACTTTTTGATGGAAAAAGAAAAGGCCAAATCCATGGTGCTTTGCACACCTCGGCGGTGGTAGTCTTGTTCCAAAATTTCACATGCCTGCCCAGCTATGTCTACCCAGGATTTCCTTTGGCTCAGAATGGGTTCCGTACGACCACAGTCACCATGATTACTCTTGGACAAGGCTGGCTCCAGCTTGGTTTAAGCCCTGGGTAGGGGGCTTTTATGGGTTGCCCTGTCTCCAAAGAGCCTCTGTTATGCACTGATAAATGCCTCCTTCTCTACTCCTCTTCTTGTGCAAAGATGGTCTGGCTAGCCAGCTTAGACTTAAGTCGCCTTCTTAACCTAGGTTCTGTTTTCTAGAGATAGTGGTGCCACCTCTATCAGAGGCAGTTCCATTTCAAACAGCCTATACTGCCAACCAACCCCTGTCTCTGAACAAGGAATAATAACGAAGATAATGAAGACTCCAGCTCTTCCTACTCAGTGCTGCCCCTTACCTTACACACCCCTGCCCCATAGGTAACAAGAAGTCCTTCTTATCTACAAGGTAACTTCACAGCAAAGCCCTATTGTGTGGATTTTT